GATCATTCTCCAGATATTATCATCCTTATGAGCACAGTCCCAGACTGACGAAACAAAGAGCGACGCGTGAAAAAGGCTCGCATTAATCGCTGACATAACCTTGAAGAAAGAGAAAGAAAATTCACTCAAACCTCATTTCGAAAGAACAACTTCAGGAGTCGGAGGTTGTTGAAAAGCTATCTCACTTTTATATGACACTAGAATGACATTTTGGAAAACAAAAATAACCTACATGCATTTGGGAAAAAGAAAACCGTGTCGAGGAGATGGAGGGAAAAAAGAGAGAACACACACGCTGGAATACATGAATACATCATCCTTTCAGTGACCTTTGAATCTTGGTGACATTTTATTCGAATACATGAATTCATAAATATAATCTTCTCTCACCATATTGCCTACCCTCTATGAATCCCATACATCTAACTGTACATCTACTGTAGCATATTGCATATCTCGATTAGAGGTGGGTAGTCAATAGTCATTTAGTACTCTGGCTTCTTGTGGAAAGGAGATAATAGGATCGGATGGGAGTAAGGAGGGGAATGAAGACAAAGTAGAGAAAGAGATTAAACACCGAGGTTTCTTCTGCCTCTTCTCAAACAGCCACAGAAGCGTCCCGCAGTGTTTTGACGCTGACATCTTTGTGTGATATGCGTGTGTGTGTATGTGCTTCAGGATGTGTGTGTGTGTGTGTTATATGTGACGATGCAATGCATGAGGTGCATATAGGTCCACCTGAGGTCTACCTGCTCGGGATTTATTCTATGATGATCATCACAATTTGATAAAATTACAAACATGTGCTCAAACTACATCCACGTGGACCACATTGCTTGTCATAGTATATATTTTTTTCTACTGTCTTGCTACACTCAAGCAGACCTGAGTCAAATAAACATTTGGGTTTAAAGCAGCAAACAAAACAGTGATTTCCATTTGCTGAATTCCCGCTAATCTGTACACCGACTCTTTAAGAAGAAACCATCCCTTGTGTTTCCCATGCACATGCCAGGCAGCCTGCTCCACTCCTGAGAGACTCAGGTACATTTAAAACAGGCGGAAGGATTTAAAGACTGCGTTAAATCTCATCTGGTTTGCTTCAAATGCCGAGACCCGGCCCAGAGAACAGCACGCACGTATAAGACAATAGGTGCTCTTTTGTTTCAGACTGAAACAGGAGTGCTTCTGGCTGACTCAAACGAGGGACGGTCTATTGACGTGTTACCAACCTAGTGATTAGCCCTGCCACAGGGCACTCAAACAAGGGCCTGTACTCGTGACAATAATAGAACTGAAGAGGTGGCTGCGTGTCAGCGGGCTAAGGCTGCGGGTACAAAAGCAGAGCCTATCCAAAGATAGACACTTTGTTCAAAGTACAACTTAACAAGCCTATGTCAGCCAAAAGTTCAACGTTTTCTTTTTTTTTGCTACGTTCACACTCACTACACTTACTACCAACGTTTATACACACACCCAGGACACAGTGCAGTATGACTGATGAGGTTCACTGGAGTCCCGACCAGTATACTTGAGTGTGGTGTACATCTGGAACATCGCATTAATATTACTTGACCATGTTTTTCCACAATGTTTCAGTTGTTTGTGCGTCCAAACCAGGAGCAGCAGCAGTGTGAACGAGCACCAGCTGTAGGAGGCCAATCAGCTGGATGTGGCATACACTTTCACTGTGCAGACGAGCATCATGTGGATATAAAACATTAATATGGATGCTGGCCAGAACAGGAACTGGGTGTTGTTGGGGACACTGTGACTTGTATAGACAGACGGGGCTTTTGGGACTTAGTTATCATCCTGAAAGTTTATCAGATAAACCATCAGATTAACTTCAATTTTTGGAAATCTTCTTTTGTTTTGGTATGACTCAGTATACTTCTATAGGCTCTGATTCAGTGGTCAGCAGGAAGCTGGTGCTTGGAAGTCTTAAAGACATTTAACTTAGCATCCAACTTCCAGTCTCCCAAGTCAGTGCTCACTTTAGCTTCAGAGCTGTTGTTGATGTGCCATTGTCAAACACGGTGTTAGGTATAGTAGCAAAAGATTATTTGTCAATTGTATTTGGCCCAGGTCTACACTTAAATACATTTTAGCCCTTTCATGGGTGTGCAGAAAGCAAAAAATACAGAGTCCACTCTGAAAGTGGCCAATGCTTCCATGAATTACCCACACGCATTCTCAGCAGCATTCACAGTCTTCTTCTTATCAAAGAGGCCATCTGTCACTGTTCAGACTAGCCAGGCTCATTGCTTGTCTCGGTCTCCCTCTTTCTCACAAATGAAGACAGAAGCGGGTACATTCACGCAACTTCAAAATGTTGAAGTTGGAAAAAACAAAACAAAAGACAACTTTTCCATCACCCGCCAAATCTTCCAAAGAAAAAAAAAGGTTGATGCTACTATTAGCCATGGACATTACAAAAAAACACGAAAAGAAAACTGTACAAAGTTCAGTTCTTCCTCAAAAGAAGCTTCCGAGTTTGCCATCTGTCCAATTTTGACAACAGGGTTTTTGGACAATGGTTCAGGCAGAGTAAAGTGAACCCGGTCCTTATCGAGGATTGAACTTCTTAACAGTTTCATCTAGAAAACACCGCCTTTGTAATGTTCACAAATCACTGCAATTTTCAGGGCTGTCTCTGTAATGGCTTTCTGAATATTCTCTCAAGATGGCTATAATATAAAACCCAGGATCTGCCACATCTCAAAGGCTCAGTCCTGTTAACAAAAAAGCTGAGCTCCTTGACATTATTGTTAAGACTTAGCAAAGAGCAATCGTATATCCTGTGTAAGAGAAATGATGCCAAAACTCAGAAGCGACTGGAATCTTTTGAGAAATGACTGATCCTAAACAGAGAGAGAGAGAGAGAACGAATGATTTAATAAAGACAAGAGAGAATTTCAGATTCCGGTTCACAGGACGTGTATTAAAAATCTCTCCCTGTTCTGTTCAAGGTCCAGAAATGCAAATGGTTAAAGAGTTCCACTACAGAGAGGCAACAAGTGTTTCATCTGTTTTTCCTGGAGCATGTGTCTGCGGTCTGACGCCTGCTTTTCATGCTGAGGCCTGTGATGTCTTGCTCTTCACCTCTTGCCATTCCCTCTGTCAAGGGGTTGGATAAGAAACCATGGACGTGTATGCCATGAAAGTGGTGGCCATCTTTACTCCGGGCAGACAGATTCGTTAGGTCCAGAGACCCTGTGCTGTTGCATTTCTTCACCAGCGGGGGTGCCAAAGAGTCCGGGGTAAACAGCGACGTAAGGGAGAGACTGTTCAGTGTTTCTGACAGGTGCTCGCTGCTGAAGGTTTGACGGCAGTCATCCCGGTTTGTCCCCATGCCAACATCCTCATCTGACGGGTCCATGGAGTCCTGCTGGGGGCAACCGGGGCTGGTGCTGCCGCCTCTGCTGCTGCTCTGGCTCCTCTGGTGCCTCCGGGCGGCTTGGAGGGTCAAAGGAGTACTGTGTCTCTTTAGTAAAGAGCAGCCCTGGTCTCCTGTAGTCGGTGTCTGGCGTTGCGAGGGGTGGCTGGGGACAGGGCAGAGGTGGGGTGTGGGGAGATCCAGATATCGAGGTGAGGAGACGCTGAAGCTCAGCCCTTCTTCCAGTGTTGCCTGCAGGCTGCCCTCTGAACTGCCTGTGGCCAAAGAGGAGTCACTGTGGGACGGGTGCTGGAAGAGAGGATAACAAAAACACACACGAATTTACAGTTACAGCTTAATGCCTTTACACATCGGACACATGTAATCCGTGTGAAAACATCAGGACCAGCTCATCATCAAGTTCAGATCCCGAAAATTCTGAATTTCCTGGAGCTACTGTTACCTAGATAAAATTGAAGTAAAACACCAATAAAGAAAAGAAAACCAGCTCTTATTGGCTGATGTTACTGTGACCAGTACCTAAGGACAGTTGTGTAACAGGAAAGGAAGAATCTGCCCCGGGACGACAACACATTGGTTTGAACTCATTCTCAGTTAACTAATTTCAGAGAAGTCCTAATAATATGAAATCGTGACACCTCCTCGCTTGTAATTCCCCCTGCTTGAAGGACCCCGCCCTGAGTTTGGGGGAAGCGTTGGTTTAATCCACTATGTCTGTATGCAGGAGGGATTTAGTCATTATTTCTAATCCTGCCAGTACTAAAATAAGAGATTACGAAAAAGCAGAAACATAGTGGCAGGGAGAGAACGCAAAGCAAAGAGGGATAGAGAGGATCACCCAGGAGAGGAGAAAAAGAAAAACAGAAGAAAAGCGACACGGGAGAATGTGAGGAGCGGGAGCCAAGCACAACAGCGAGTGCCGAGTCGGTATCAGGCTCGGGGCTGGCCGGGCTAATTAGCTGAGCGCCGCAAAGCATTACTGTAGCAGCGGAGGATCACAGAGCCACTCAGGCACGAGCTAAACAAACCAAACAGGTAGAGGTGAAAAGAGAAATCTGTCTCCATGGTTACAAAAGGAACAAGAACTAAAATACGGGCTTTATTTTTCTCCCCCTTTCTTTCGAGTTTGTTTCACGTAGGAGCCAGCATAGGGGAGGTGTTGGATTCAGTATGGAAGAGAGGCTGGCTTTAATTATGACTAAATAAGCTCTCTGGAGTCTCACACTACAGTAGGACTTCAGTGGAGGGTGGTGATACGTGTATATTCACGATTTGGCGCGCAGTAATTAGATTCTGACTGATAGATCTCAGAAGAGGCTGCTGTGTCACATCTAACTGTGCCACTCCTACTCAAGAGTTGATTTCTAATGAACTAAAGTGATTCCAAGTGTTTATTACACCCACAGCTGTAACAATGGGGCCAATATCTAGTGTCACTATATGATATAAGGCAGGGGTGTCAGCCTAGCAAAGACTTCAATCTGGCCTACTGACAAGCTGTTTACCTCTTCATAAAGA